TACTCAGCTGCAACATCTATAAAACAGGGTGGTAATAATAAACCTCAGAATAACTGCAAAGATTAAGTAATTTATATAGTGCTGAATACAATATCTAATAGCAATTAGAACTTAGCTGTTAGTGATCTATTTGCAAGGCCTTAGATTTTACCTGAATTTAAAGACCTCAAAGAAACTGGACCCTAGCTTTCATTTCCTATTTTTTCAAGACTATTAATAATATAGTTTATATACTCTGCTGATTTACCGTATCTTCTGCCCTCCATTATGACTCTTTATCACTGAATATTTGTCAACAAGATGCATGTGCATTGTCTTGAATGTAAACATTTCAGTGGCAGAGTTTCAAAGAAAAGAATCATAGACAGCACTAACAGTAAAACCCTGTGAAGGTCCTAAGACTAAGAGTTGACTGCACTCAAATTATCACAAGGAATGGAGTTCCTATGCCAATGACAGGGCTCTGTAGGAAACAGAGGAAATAAAATTATAATAAAATTTACCATCAGCTCTATGAATAACAATACCAAGGGGAAGGGCCACTCAGGTATAAAAATGTGATAACATACTTAGAAACAAGGACATCTTAGTGGCTTAAGCAACGTGTTTAAGAGGTTGGAAGTGGCAATGGTAGATAAAAGCTGCATGAACATACATGAACACCTAGACAAGTCTTTGTATTTAGAGGTCAAGAAAAGGAGTGGTCAGGGGAATGGTAAAAATAGAAACAGCAAAGATGTACCTATTAAAATGTAATTTACATAAATCTTTCCAGGATTCTTTTATTGGAATATACCTTAATCTTTTATTTTACCACTACAAGATTAAGCCATTAAACTACACAACGTAAAATGGAAGTTATATCCCATAAACCAGTACCTGCCCACACTCAGCAGTGAAGGGAATAAAAATCAAGATAGTGCTGTAATTCCACTTGATTCTAAAAATCAAGTGCATTTGACATCAGTTTGAAACAGAACCTTTATCAAATTCCCCTTTTTAAGAAAAAAGCCAAGGAGAGATGATCAAGCACAAATGATCACTTCATGCGTTTTATTGATAGTCTATATTTTAAATCTGCAGTATGACATCTTACATAGGGAAAAAGCTTCTTCTAAAAGATAACTATTAATAATCAAACCAGCTTTAATATGACTGACCTTTCAAAGTCTTGTTTTGCAGTAAACAAGTTAATTTTTAGCAGGTGTAAAGCACTGTACAAAAAAAGAAAAAAATAGAAAGAAAAAAAAAAAAGGAAACTGGGTACATTCTCAAATTTATTTAATACAGGGCTTCCTAACCAGGCATCAGCTGGCTAGATATTGAAGGGTGTTATGTTCAGGTTTAAATCTAAAGAAAATGAGAAACCAGATAAAGCAAACTAACCAAAGTAACTTCATTTTGTGCTCTTTTCTGCTTTTTTTGCAAGTCTCTCCCAGAGGTAAGGAAGCCCTGGTGTAACAATCACTTTAGTCTTTACAGAACATATATTTATGTGCTTCGTGTTCAAAGATGTAAAGGCAGGCGTTGTTACTATTCCCCCCTGCAAGTCCCTTAAGGTTCTTAGACTTCAGAAAGCTTTCCAAGATTGTTGCCCAGTTCTTTATATGAACCCAAGTAAACATCTATATCAAAGAAGCTCTTCCTGGGAGAAGACAGAACAGGCAGGTACATATCCAGGCCAATTGTGTACCTACTGAACTTGATACCTGATCACATAGCCCTACATATGTAAAAGCAGCACCAAAGACAAATGAACCTATCAAGAGGTAAAATTCAATCACTGAACAGTTAAAACACATACAAATCAGTTACAAGAATGTTAGCATAGGGGCACTTAATGGAGTTAAGGCTGGGCAGCTGGTTCAATCATACATTGGTATTGTAATATATCTGCAAGATGAGGAACTATAGAGGAACCCTGAAATAATTAGGCACAGTGGTATTATGGGTTTGCTTTCACTACATGTATTTAAGATCTCACTCAATCCAAGTGACCATAAAGCAGCTTGTGGATCTTTAGCAAAGAAATACTAATAAAAAAACAAACACCTCATTATTTTATTTGAGTATTAGAGGGTATGCCTATTTCTTTCAAATTTGAATTAAAATACCTATATAGAAATGAAAACAATCATAAAACTGATACTGTTATTATCCCTTGTAAGTTCCAACACTTCAATAATAGCTCTATTGTATGCTGTTTTAGATATAAAATGGATTTACTTAAATCAAGTGAGATAATCACTTATTGGGGGTATTAGGTTTTATTTTAGAAATGTCCAGTTAAGACATCAATTTCAAGATGCTAAAAGTTTTACAGCTGTTTTCATAGCTTTTTCTTAGTTGTTCATTAAAATCTGATTTAAAAATAAGTTAAATAATAATTCTTTGGACCTTGAACTTTAATTTTACTAATAATGCATGTTATATTGATTTACATTTTCAAATGTTTTCAAAAGCATACAATTTACTAAGTTAACTCAACGAATTACACTATTATTGAATATAAAAGATCCTGAAGAATTCTAAGGAAGAAAACACCCGACCCTTGAACATGTGCCTTTTCAATCTCTTGCATTACTAAAGTACAGAATACTTTGAAAGTAGCAATCAGCATAGTCTTATAAGCCATGAATAAAAGTGCCCTGCAAACATGGTTTCTAAGTACTTAACATTGGTAATACATTTGACAGGGAAGCTAGTAAGGTAAAACTTAAAAATTCAAATAAGGTAGATTACTTATAAAAGAACAAAAGAGAAGGGGAGGAGGGTAAAAACATTATCTTTAAAAGTATCAACAACTACGAGGTACCGTTGTATTCTAGCAAGCTGTAAAATTGGCCCTTTAGGAGGCATTTTGCAACATTCACCTCCTTATCACATGGATATTATAGGAACTGACTGAAGTCATGGCTGTCATGGACATTTGGGAAGCAGGTGGTTCAATACAAATATATTAAGTGATAATCCTTCATAAATAATTTGAGACACCGAATACTTGGTATGGAGAGGACATATTTTTCCCAGGGGGGAAATTACTTGAGGTAACACTTATAATCAGTTTCCTAATCTTAAAGTTTGGATAAATTCCAATAATTATATTTTTAGATATTTCATATATATAAAATGGTGCTAAACATTTTTCTTGTTAACTGCCCTGTTATTCCCTACACTAATGTGAGCACGTTTCTCAATCCCCACCTCCATTAACCACTAACACAACTGAGGTATAAATGATGTGTTTTTTAGAGCAAATACTCAAAATTAACATGGTTCATCTATTATAGTATTGCTACAAAGTCTGCAAACTTTAAGCCTAACTTGTTCAGTCTTGTTTGTAGTAATAATAAAGTGCAGCTTTATTAACTGCTTGAAGTTAAACAACATAACACCTCAAATGCTTCAGACTAATAAGTGTCTTTTTAAAAATATATGAAATATTCAAAGAAATTCAGATTTTAGTACTTTCTTCTATACTTTGAACAATGTAAACTCCCAACATTGTTTTATCTTGTTCCTATTACTGCATAAAGTTCCAGGACAGTATCTTTCTTTAATAAAGAAAAAGTGCAAAAATACAAAATAAAATGTAGTCTTTTGCAAGAACATGCTCCCTTAAGGGAATAGGTATTTGGATGCTGGTAGGAAAACAGATCTTTCTTCTCCACAGTACATCTGACACCTATAAATGACCTTGTCTTCAATGTCCACCAGTAAGTACATATTAATCATCAGCCTTGCAAAAAAAAAAAAAAAAAAGCAAATTCTGCTAAATTCTATAGTCTAATGGAAACCAATGAATGCTATTGAAAAAGATGTCCACATGCACATGCCCAATATGTGCATTCTACTGAGGGCTATAAACTTAAAATTCTATTTCCAGTATTTATGAGTAGGTTCAATATATACTTTCATAACCAGAATTCAGCATGAGTTCTTTAATACTTGAAAAATGAGTAATAGAGTAATGCATAGTGGGAGATACCTGTTTTTAGTAACTTTTATGCTTAGAATGAGCTGTTGTTTTTAAAATATATAAAATTAACACCCCCCATAATAATGGGACATTTTATACCAAGAGAAAAATGGGTTTGTTTTTAGCCAATCAGACTACCCCACAGATTTGAAAACCAGATTACATACCCTTAGAAAATGAGACAAGGAGGCTCACAAATATAAAGGAATTATGACTTTTACATGGACAATTTTTTTAAAAGATAAAATGTATTATATAAGCGCCATAAACAGTAATTTCTGCTTATATTAAAAAAAATAAGTGAAACTTTGTTTGAACATTATTTCCTTGCAAGAGCAGTACATATCCTTAGCAAACAACTACCACATTTACAAGTTAATTTCGTTGATAGGTAGGATTGAAAGCAAGAGAAAAACATGAAAATATGAGCTTTGAAATCATCTTCACAGCTAAATTTACAACAGTTAAAATAACTAGATAGGTTCCTAAAAGCAGACTTGTTTTATTTTTTGAGTATCTGATTATACCTGGGTAGTAAGCTCACTTTGTTAAAGGCCAAGGATGTGTTCAATTCCTCATAGGACCCATTAGCTTTTTCCAAATAAACAAACAAAGTCTTCCATAATCAGACTAATCTAAACCCCAACCAGCCTCAAAAGTAAAATTTGGCAAGAGTGCTGAGGTTCTTTTCACAAACCTAATGTTACTACTAAGGAAACAACATAAAGTGCATGTCCCATGGATCATAAGTCGGTGGCCTCATCTTCAAATATGGGCAGCACAACAAATTTGAATTTCAAATAACCCAACATGACTCATTTTCAAAAAGAAAATCTCTTAACTACTCAACTGGTCTTTAAATGTGAAATATTAGGTTGTGTTAAACAGCAATGAAATACTAACAAGTGTGCACAGGTACCTTAAATGACAAATCTTGAAAACAATGCAAACCGAGTCTTTCTTATTTGTATACACATCAGTACCAATGTTTATGCTAAAAGTGGTTTACAATCTCCTTCTTCTACCTTCTTTGTTTTTTGAGGAGACTTGTAAAAACAACAATGTAAATTGTACTAGGTCATAGTGGCTTATTTTTTTTTTAAAGCAAAGCTCTGCCCCAATATTTGTTCATCTACTTCATCTGCTCAAGTAGAATACTGTGCCAAAGATCTCACCATATGAAACCAGTATGATTACACTGTCTTCATGAAAAAGTTTAAATTCTTCCAGAGTAGTAGTCTCCCCAGTCTTTCATTTTCTGCCTAAATACAAGTTAAAACACACAATTTCCATTGGCCTTCAATGTAGTTCTATTCTGCACTCTGACCTTTACTTTGCAATGTCACAGTAGCTCACATACATTAAATAGTATAGATATGTTCTGCTCTTGACATGTACACACTTATAAAAGGAGCCTTATATTTTTTTGGTGTGATTTTTTTTAAACTATATTGGCTCATAAAAAGCATTTGTTTTCATTTCTATGCATGGTACTTTACAATTTGTAATGCATTATTACAACAGTGCATTGGAAAAGTACTGAGCCTCTACAAAATAGCTTTACATTTTTAAACAATTGAATGTGATTTTTTTTCACTTACATAAGCATAGGCTTTTTTAATATTTCCACAAGATAAACATCTTAATTAAACTATAAGCTCACTTCTACAGTGTGCCACAGTGATGGGCTTAGGAGACAGTTATACACTTAGAAGATCTAACCTTAGGTGTTATTTACATTGATATGTCCAATATCACCTTGCCTAAGAAGTGAACAAATAATAGTCAGCATGTAGCCAAATTAGTGCCAACTAATAAGTGGGAATGGTGAAGCTTTAAGCAATCACTTATAAAACATGTACTGTAACTTAGTCTAAACTGATAATTTCCTTAGCCTCTCTCTCCTATGGCATGGGAAACTTTAAAAATCAATATGAAACAGCCACTGCTAAGACAGATCTTTTAAGATAACAAAGGAGAAACTAATAAACATATATAATAAATCATTAGTGTATCAATTACTGATACTGAAATTAGATTTTATGTCCTAAAACATTGCTTTTTAAATATTTCCTTTTATTCTGGAACAGAAATTGGAGACAGGACAATTATTCATTCAGAAAGCAATGACTCAATTCAGGTTGCAACTTTACAAGCACCACTCAAAAAGTGGACATAAAGCAAGTGATTCCTGTTTGCCCATCACTATACCAGATACATATCTGAGAGCTCAAACCTTAATTACACAACGCTTTCTCTGTTACCAGAAGCTAAGACTGCCCTGCGACAAATAGGACAAGTAGAATTTTCAGATAACCAGCGATCGATGCAGTGGACATGATACTCATGGGAACAAGGTAGTTTACGAAGTTTGTTGCCTTCTGTATATTCTGTAATGCAAACACTACAGGTTTTTAATGCATCATTTTCACCAAAACTTCTCATTGCCAAATTGTCAATCTGTTCTTTGGTGAGTCCTCTAGGTTGGTCATCATCATCCTCATTTAAGAGGAAAAATTGAGCCAGGCTAAGGAAGGGCAAAGAGCCACTTTCATCAAATGTTACTGGGGCCCTGTGTCGAGCCTCTCGCCTGCCACCTGATGATGAGCTTCCTTCACTACTACTTTCAAACACCTCTGAGCTAACCTCTGAACTTTCACCATTGGAACTAGAACTAGGACTGGAACTCGTACTGGAACTGGAACCAGAACTGCTACCACCACCAGAACCCCCTCTTCCATTCCGTGACTCTGCCCTTTCCATATTTTGACTTGAGATTGAGCCACTAGACTCTGAATCACTATCACTGTACATAAAGTAGCTTAATTCACCAAAACCTGTCATTATTTGCCTTAACATGGTCTGAATTGCTACAGATGTAGTCTCACTTAAACCAGTATTTAAGATTCTACGAATTGGAATTCTGATGGTACTGACATAGGTTCTCACACCTGCCCGCTCAGAACGTGAAAATGTACGCCTAAAACCTCCTCGTTCACTTTCATAAGTGACTGTGTTGTTTGGCGTCTGAGACCTTGACCGAGTTCTGCTAGCTATGCTATCTCTCTGCCGATATTCTCCAGGACGGACTCTTCTTACTTGAAGGTCAAGGACTATGGTTGGAGGTCTCTGTCCTGATCCTATAGATTCACCATTGCCAATTGTGTCTGAAGAACCTGCTCCCTGTGAGGCATTTCTTATTCCGGAAGTTGCAAAAAGTCCTCTACTTAGCAAGTCAGGTCCACTTATTTGCTGTCTTAGTGTCACATGGTGCCGGGTTCTAGAACTTCCTTCAGTCTCATTTACCAAAGGATGCTCAAAAGTCTGAGATGAGATACTATGATGAGACCTTCGTGGAATTTCACTCATTGGATGCAGAGGTGACCTGCTTCTTTCAGCTCTTGCTCGTGTTCTCCGATGGTCGGGGCTTCTGCTTCTTGCTCTTCTTTGACCTCTAGTAGATGGGACTTCTATTAATGCTTCAGTTGAATTGCGTTCTGATCTGGATGGCCCTGCAGATGTTGATTCAGATCGTGGATTTCCCACTTGCCTTTGGCTGTTATCCATGTTTTCTCCATTAGAACGTCTTGCAGATGGCTCATTTTCATTCTCTAGGTTTTGACTCCCATTATTACGGTTTACATTGATCTCTAAGCTGAATCTGAAATCACCACTGCTTGGATTAGTCCGACTCACTGCTCGCCAAGATTGGTTTCCTCTCTGACCACTTCTTGTTGTATTTCCAGTTTGTCTGACAGAGTTAAGCCAGTCTATTATAGAGTCACCATTAGACACATCATCTGAAGATTCTCCACCTGTTTTTAAAAAATAAGAGGAGAAAAGGAACTACTAAAATTAGGATAATCATGTAATAGTGCTCTAAAACTATTGTTATTAGAAAAAACTTAAAAACTTTGTATTAGAAAAAAAAGGAACAGCTTCTGAACAGATTTCAAATTTATAGATTTTTGTAAGCTGTACTACATAAACTTGCAAGTAAAGGCAGAGACATTTCAATTTCATTTTGAAAGAGCAAGCTAATCCAAACAAAATTTAGAGAATTTTCTTAAAGAGGATCTGGAGATAGTCTATTATATACAGAGCCTAGCATACCACTGTGGACTGTCAGAAGACAATACTTTAAGTTCACTATTAAGACACTCTTGCAATCAAACAAGGTAAATACTAGTTAAGGTATAGAGCTAGAATATAGTTCAAATTACATTGCTGTCAAATTTTCACTAGCCTGTAACATTTTTTATAGGCTCTTGATTTAAGTGACTTTGATAAGACATTTTAAAATACAAGACTGCTGTAGCTATTGTAAAAATACAAAATAAACAAGGTTTATAGATTTGAAAATGTATTAATATTTCTTCATGTTACCAAGATTCCTAATTAACATGAAATTGGACATCAGACCAAATGAATAGTCTGAACCTAGCACAATACATACAATGGCACATTCAAGACCAGACTGTTATCACAGCCTCTTTGGTTAGATAGTGAAATTCTCTACTTCACATTGAGAAAAAAACATCAGGATGTTAGAATGTTTATCCATATCCCTAGCTTCTACCCACTAGATGCTGATAACAAACTCCCAGTATTGATAGACAAAAAATGTCTCCAGCCATGGCCAATGTCCCATAAGGGGCAAAATTAAACCCTATTGAGAACCACGAGGTTAGAAAATAAAGCATTTCTTTCTGCTGGTGAGGAACTCATATGTTTACAAAAAAAAAAAAAAAAAAAAGAAATAATTCAGTAGATAGAAAGAAATTTCAATGGATATGGAAAATCAAGAAAATACTACATTTATATATGCCATTTCTCACAATGCCCAATTAATATAAACAACCCAAAGATGAAGCAGAAAGACACCTTACGTTCACATTCTTACCAAATATCAAGACAATGCCATTTCTCTTTTTATGAGCAGTTAACTTAGCACCAAATTAATTTATGCCATTTCTGGATAATCTTTAGCTGACATTTACTGTTATGAAGTTTTTTATCCATTCCATCCTCTACCCAACCCTTACAAACCCTTAAAATACCTCTATTTTCATCTGAGTTTTGTGGTGGTGGGCCCTCTTTAATTTGCTGTAATCTTCTCAGCAACTCTTCCTCAGTACTTTCACCTGAAAATAGTTTTAAAATGTTTGCCAAATTACAAATAAAAACTAATGACTCTTACCCATCTGAGATGAAAACCAAGGATTAGGAAATCTGGGTAAAATTCATTTCTTTGGGAGCATGACATTACAATTTATATTTGTTCAAATTTCTTATAGTTTACGGAATGTTTTTGTCTGTATTACCTCATTCATTACAATTGCAAGTCTGGAAGCTAGATATTACTATCTGTATTTTAAAACAAGAAAACTGAGACTGAGTGAGAGACTGACATGCTAATAAATGGCAGGACCAGAAGCCCAGTTTAGATATTCTGAATGAAACCTGGTACTGATGATACAAAATGTACTTCCTTTCACTAACACCTGATCTTTTAAAATTTAAGCAATTCTACTAAAAAATTAGTAAAATTAAATAGAGATAAGAACTATGGGAAATAATGGATTTTAACTATGATTAAATAGGACCTAATAGCTAAGCACAAAGTTCTGAATAATTGGTAATTTTACCAAAAGCCAGCTCTGGAGGATTATGATTGGGACATATTCAGGGAATCAGTAATAACAAAACAGAGTAAGTCTGTCCTAGAAACTAAAATTCCTATTAGCTCTTCCATAATTAGACTCATGCCTAGAAGTTAAATAAGTCAACAAAAATATGGTTCAGCCCAGCCAGCATGGCTTAGTGGTTGATCATCAATCTATGAACCAGTCAGGGCACATGCCCCGGTTGTGGGCTCAGGTTGTGGGCTTGATCCCTAGTGTGAGGTGTGCAGAAGGCAGCTAATCAATGATTCTCTCATTTTTGATGTTTCTCTCTCTCCCTTCCTCTCCGAAATCAATAAAAGTAATTTAAAAAATTGTTCAGCTCCACTGTTATCTTTTTTATAAAAGCACATTTAAAAAATATATATTTTATTGGCCAAAACCGGTTTGGCTCAATGGATAGAGTGTCGGCCTGTGGACTGAAGGGTCCCGGGTTCAATTCCGGTCAAGGGCATGTACCTTGGTTGGTTGCGGGCACATCCCCGGGAGGGGGTGTGCAAGAGGCAGCTGGTCGATGTTTCTTTCCCATCGACATTTCTAGCTCTCTATCCCTCTTCCTTCCTCTCTGAAAAAGAAACAATAAAATCTATTAAAATATATATATATATTATTGTTTTTTTGCAGAGAGGAAGGGAGAGGAATAGAGAGCTAGAAACATCGTTGAGAAACATCGATCAGCTGCCTCTTGCACACTCCCCACTAAGCCAAACCGGTTAGGGCAGCTCCACTGTTTTCAAATCAGCTCACTATAAATTCATAATATAATTCATAACTAAAAATATCATATAGCTGAAACCGGTTTGGCTCAGTGGATAAGAGTGTTGGCCTGCAGACTGAGGGATCCCAGGTTCGATTTGGTCAAAGGCACGTACCTTGGTTGCAGACGCATCCCCAGTGGGGGGGCCAGGAGGCAGCTGATCAATGATTCTCTCTCATCTATGTTTCTAACTATCTCTCTTCCTCTCTGTAGAAAATCAATAAAATATATTTTTAAAATATTATATAGGATAATTCCAAATATAAATGAACAGAACCAAGTAATAAATATAGTAAACGTCATTCTATATACCTTGCATTAAAATCACACTTCATAATGTCTAGAGAAACTGATTTTCAAAACAGGCTATTTTTTAAAAGACCAACGAATTACATATATAAATTCTTAAACTACATATCTCATACCTGGGGTGCCTAGCAAATTGTTATCCCTCATAAGCCTATAATCTTCTTCACTCAGGTTATTCACAAACTGATAGAAAGCTTCTTCCCGATCCAATCGGTCCATCTGACTTCTGCGCTGTGCTGCAGACTGATCACCACTTCCTTTATCATTAGAATCTGAGCTTTCCATCTTGATGAACAAGTGGAAATTTATCTAAAGGAGAAAGGAAATCAATCTTGAAAACAGAAGTATGTGTTCTATAAAACATTTTCAACTATGTGAAAATCCAGAATATAGGTCAAGATGTAAATTTTAAGAACTCATCTGAATGAAATTTTATAATAGAAAAACACCCCCAAAGCCCTATTTTACTAGGAAAAGACTAGGTCAGGGGTTGGCTAACTATGGCCCAACGGCCAAATTAAGCTCTGTTGCCTATTTTTTCTTGTTGAGACCCACAAATGCTTTTTACACTTTTCAATGTTTATTTTGAAGGAATTTTTATGATGTGTAAGTTATATGAAATTCAAATTTCAGTGTTTATTTTATTGAAATAGTCATATAGGTTCATTTACATTCATTATCATCTGGTTTTTATGATATAATGACAAAGTTTAATAATTGTGACAGACTAAATGTGGCACTTTTCACTGCTTTACAGTTGTGATCTGAGCATTGTAAGTTGTAGTGATGCAATTACAATTTGACAACATTTCAAGAGCCATGTACATCACCATACTGTGACAAGTTACAGGTGCACACTCATCAAGTCAAGAAGATGGACTTAAAATGCCACCCTTAAAGGCAAAGAAAAGGGATTATTTTATCGGATTAGATGGTGAAGATTGTTTATTATGCAGCATGTAAAGGCACAATAACTGTGCTTAAGTAATGAAATATATGTCGATATTATCAGACTGAGGATATTATCATTCTTAATTCATTCCTAATTCACAGGGAAGCTACAGTGTAAAATTAGAAAACAAGATAAAAAAACAAAATATTTCTTCACAAAATTAAAAAATAAGACTTCAACCAAAGTAAGTTTCCCGTGGCTCATTGGTGGCTAAGCAAGGAAAATCATTTATTGATGTTGAGTTAATTTGCATTTGATGGAAGAAGCTAAAGAAATGTGTACAGAGAAAATAAACTTGTTTAAAATTATTAGTGTTTTGATGCACACAGTTGCTCAGAAGTTAAATATATTGGGACACATCAATAAACAAATGAAAAACAAGGCATCAAATGATTTTGAGTGGTTTTCCTTGGCTCACTGTAAGTCCACAACTGTAAGTGATACTATTCACTGTTTATTCTAGGAGTCAAGAGTTGATTATTCAAGGAGTTTAAGATGTATAAGTAGCCTCTATAAATCTGTATGGAGCCGAAACCGGTTTGGCTCAGTGGTAGAGCGTCGGTCTGCGGACTGAAAGGTCCCAGGTTCGATTCTGGTCAAGGGCATGTACGTTGGTTGCGGGCACATCCCCGGTAGGGGGTGTGCAAGAGGCGGCTGGTCGGTGTTTCTCTCTCATCGACGTTTCTAGCTCTCTATCTCTCTCCCTTCCTCTCTGTAAAAAATCAATAAAATATATTAAAAAAAAAAAAAAAAAAATCTGTATGGAACTACTACAGGTGATAATGTTTTCAAAGAAGTTGAGAAAACACTAATGCAGCACAACCTGAAGTGGAATTTGCTAAGATGTATTACAACTGAAATAGTGGTAAAATGTGTAAAACAGAAAAAAAACGTGGTTAGATAAATTTACAAACCTTGTGAAAATGTAAGATATTTAAGTCTATGGTTATCCACAATATTATTCATCAAAGGGAGTTTTCAGAAAATATTTAAATCCATCATATTATTGAACCAATAGTGTGAATGGCGAGCTTCATTATTGTAGATTTAACAATCATCACCAGTTCCATGAATTTTTGTCAGAAACAGAAACTAAGTATCTTACTTCATCACTTGTTCATTTTGATGGCTTAGCATTGGTAAAAGTTTATTGTGATTTGTACCCAAGCCCAAGTGGAAATTTTTCCCCAATGAGAACCACCCTCAATTACCATTACAAAACAAGTGTGGAAATTTAGCTTTTGCTAAAGGATTCATAATGTTCTTAATTAATCCAAACTAAAATAACCAGGCAGCCCAGTCTGTGTGGCTCAGTGACTGAGCATCACCCTATGAACCAGGAAGTCGAGGTTCCATTCCTGGTCAGGGTACATGCCCCAGATTGCAGGCTTGATCACTGGTACAGGGTGTGCAGGAGGCAACCGATGGATGATTCTCATCATTGATGTTTCTATCTCTTTCTCCCTCTCCCTTCCTCTCTGAAATAAATTAAAAACCATATTTAAAATTACAAGGCAAAATAGTGCTTATATGTAAACTTACCCTGCAGTAAGTCATTTCAATTAACACTGGAATCACAAAGTCAAGCAAGCTGCTTTACATGCACTTCTTTGTGCTATCAAAGAAATGAGAGCTGCATTCCCATACAAATTAGTAGATATATTTTATGAGCACAAACTACAGTTCCAGAAGTATTTTTTTAGACCTTGGTGCAAATAAAAATAAAATTTCCTTATTTCAAAATCCATTTACTAGTAAGTGTGCAACTTGGGAGCTTTCACCTAACCTTCACAAAGTGATAACTGCAGTGTAATGATGTTAAAAGGTAAAGATGCAGAGAAGAGTCTAGAATTCTATAAATACTTTCTAAGGGATGAGTATGCTTCATTAAAATTATATGCTTCTGGCCGAGCCGGCTTAGCTATGAACCAGGGAGTCACGGTTCAATTCCTGGTCAGGGCACATGCTGGGGTTGTGAGCTCCATCCCCAATATGGGGCTAGCAGGAGTCAGCCGATGAATGATTCTCTATCACTGATGTTTCTCTTTTTCTCTTTCTCTTTCTCTTCCTCTATCTCCTTCCTTTCTGAAATCAATAAAAACATTAAAAAAAAAAAAAACTATACACATCTGGACTGATTACATAGCAGGAGCACTAGATGAAAACCTACACATGATTTTGATAAGGAATGTTTAACTCCAATTAAAAAATGTTAACCCCCAAAAGAATGCCTTTTTTAAATTAGTAGACCTATATTAAAATATTGTACTTGATTATTATTACATTTTGAGTTCTTAATTGTTTTTGGAAGTGATGGATAGGTTTATATCCTTGATTGTGGTGATAGTATCACAGGTATTTGCTTATGTCCAAATGCATCAAATTGAATTCATTAAACTTGCAATATTTTGGTATATTAATTATACATAAATAAAACTTAAGAAATCACATATTTCCTCAAAAGTTCAAATCTGCCAAAACCGGTTTGGCTGAGTGGATAGAGCATTGGCCTGAGACTGAAAGGTCCCAGGTTCGATTCCTATCAAGGGCATGTACCTTGGTTGCAGGCATATTCCCAGTAGGGTGTGTGCAAGAGGCACCTGGTCGCTGTTTCTCTCTCATCTATGTTTCTAGCTCTCTATCCCTCTCTCTTCCTCTCCGTGAAAAATCAATAAAATACTTTTTTTTTTTTAAAAAAGTTCACGTCCAACAAGCTATAAAACCCCTACAAAATTCCTAGAGTTCATTAACTGTTCTGCCTTCTTACTGGAACCTGTATTCTTGGAAGAGATTGTTTTTAATGTTTTTTATGGGGAACTCTTCACAAAGGCAGGGCTGTTTAGTCCTTGAAATCTTTGTTGGGATCCAATCCTTCATCATTCTAATTTCTGAAGCATGTGACTATAGATGTGAAATTCTGCCCATCTTCTTCCTGTAATTCAATATCATTTATACTGCTCTTAAAAATCAATGTCTTCTTGTTTATTTCTAAGCTGCCTCTAGAAAAGGTATGAACAATTGCTTTTTTGATTAGAAAAATAATTTTTCAGAATCTATATACCATGCTTCCCAAAATGTTACTTATTTGGGGGAAAATATGCACTATAAAACATCTCTACTAACATTGATTTCTACTATAAACTCAGTATTAAAACTGCATTTTACTTTGTTTTTTACATTTTAAGTTTTATCAAGAAAAACTGTGGAAATTTGGCTTCTCTTTATATATCAATAACTGCATAATATGCTTCAATTTTACTTTATTTTTTTATCAGCAACACAAAAAAAGTATTACTTGGCCTTTTACAGAAATAGTTTGATAACCTCTGCTCTTGATAGTACATAAAACTGGCCCAAATTCTTAATTATCATTCACTACTTATATGGCCTTAGGAAATACTAGCAGATTTACACACATTCTAAATTAACTGGTGGTAAATAATCTAAAATTCCATCCAACTTCAGCTGGATCTTTTTAAACTCACAATGACACAATAAGTTAATCCCATGAACATATGATAATCTGATTTGTAGAAAAAAGGGAATCTATAGGTGCTGGTACTAGGATTTAATGTCACACACAACACATGAAGTATCTGGATGTTCATAAGTCAATACTAAAGAGAAAAAGAACAACAAACCTTCTTGCAGATATAAAAAATAAAAACCCTAGTCTCTACCTGTCTGCTGAACCTAAACAAATTTTAGTTCAGACATGGGCACATCTAGATTTCCATCGGTTTAAACAAATGAGATGAACACATCAAGGAAGGGGTAGGAAGGATAAACTTAACATTTTTTGAAAAAACTTTCTAATCTCACAACTAAGAATCCATAATTTTGGTAAAACTAAACTATAGAAATTTCTGAGACATGTTTTTATAGTAACTTGAAACTTTAAGATGACTAGAAATCAACAGCTTAAATAAAGCATTCATAAGTTACATGGGCCATCCAATAGAAAAATTAACAAAAGGAAACCACATTTTTTCATATGTAGCTAACTATCGATAATATTATTTGATAATAGTAAGCTAATTTTTAAAATATATTTTATTGATTTTTTTACAGAGAGGAAGGGAGAGAGATAGAGAGCCAGAAACGTCAATGAGAGAGAAACATCAACCAGCCGCCTCCTGCACACCTCCCACTGGGGATGTGCCCGCAACCAACATACATGCCCTGACCGGAATCGAACCCGGGACCCTTCAGTCCGCAGACCGACCCTCTACCACTGAGCCTAACCGGTTTTGGCAGTAAGCTAATTTTTTAAAATATAGAAAAGCGCAAAGGAAAAAGTACTTCAGCTGCAATTCTTCAAAGAAAACCACATTAACATCTGACTACTATACTTAAG